ACTCAAGATCCTGAAAATATCACTTCTAAATGTAAGAATAAAAATATAAATTTTAGTAGTGAATTTATATGACTCATTTAATTATTATGCCTTTTTGTCCTTTTTTTTATATTTTTTTTATAACTCTATTTAAAATTTATTTTGTATTACAAGTACAATCTATATATTAACAGGAATTATTATACTGGAATTATGGATGCAGATATTTAGTCTTACAGTTCAAAAATAATGTTCTTTATTTAGTTCACCTGTAAGACTAAATATCTGCATCCATAATTTCAGTATAATAAGTCCTGTTAATATATAGATTGTACTGTACTTGTAATAGAAAATAAATTTTAAATTTTAAATTACGAATATTTGATATTTTATTTTACTACGAAAATTCTACTAATTGGCAAATCGTCGTTACAGGTTCAAATAATATTAGAAATTGAATTGTAGAAATTTTGAACTTATTCAAAATATTTTACATGAATCAAAAGTTGAACTTCTTATCAACTACTGTAAAGTAAAAAGTTTCGAAATTATATTATTTTATGTGAAGAAAGACAATATATTTTATTACACTTTGAACTATTTTTACACGACAAAAATATATACATTAAAAATAATAATAAAAAATTAATGATTTTCCAACGATAATTAAAATTTAAAACAGATGCGAAATAGCGATTGGCAGAGAATGAGTAAACAATTAATTATACTAATCAGCATTTTCCACACGATTTAAACGACTATAAATAGGGTGGAAGCATCCCTATTGCTATAACTAATCATGATCTTCTATTTTGCAATATTTTTCCCGTTTGTAGGCGTTTCAGCCATTTCAATTGGTAAGACAATATTTTTTATTAAAACATTAATAATATTCAAGAGTTTTTAATATACGGATTTGAAGGGATATTTTTAAGTTTCTGATATTAATAAATAAACAGGTCGAGTTGACGTCCTGGTGTTTCCGTCGGTGGAAACATCGAGATCTGGAGTGAAGACGGTCAAATTCCGAGCTCTAAACGAAGAAATAGAACTGAAATTACAACCTGCTGGCGAAATATTGGCAGAAAACTTTGCACTGTATGATGCGAACAATCGAATACTTCCCTCGGTAAGTCATTTTCTAAATTATTATTCTTATTCATCAGGTTATACAGTAGCGTTATTTACAACATATAAGTAGCGTTCTTATCATATTGGCCTAGTTACCATTCGTGCTAGGTGCAAATCTCAATGGTATAAAGTAACGTGTGTATTCGGCTTCTCACAACAGCCGCAATAATCGAAATAGTCGAAATTATAAAAAAGTATTTCGGGAGTTCGATGAACGAAAAGAGGGCAAGTGGAAGTAGCGAAATTTCAAAGTAAAGAAATTGAACTTGTCCGAACTGAATATATTTATGGCAGATTGGAGATGAGCAATTCAAAAATGGCCAGACTTAAACTACGTGATAGAATTATTTGTTGTATACATTTGCAGACAAAAATACAGTGTCAAGAAAAGAATTACCATGTGTTCGAAAAACAACTAACTGTCTTATATTAAAAATGTAATAGATTTCACTTACAAAATGCAATTCGGATTGTTATTATGACATTCGTTAATCACAATGTTACTAAATTTACATACTGTACCAGTATATTTGTATTAGGATTATATATTTTGATGAAAATAGTAAGTCTACATAAATACTTAAATGTTTTAAGATCGAAGTACAAGACTTGAAAAGAAAAATGTACAGAAATAGTACTAATGGAGTGGCTTTGTTAATCGATGAAGAAGGACCTGTTAAAATTGTAATTATTACTATTATTAATAATTATACGTATTATCGTACAGAATATAATACCTTTATGCATACTTTTAGGAAGGAATTGTAAATTCAAACTTGAGAATCGTACCGTACGAGTCGGGAAGGGCGGATAGAGATGGAATAATACCTCATCAAATTCTGGAAGTTATAAGTGACAAAAACTCTTTTGGCCATGACGAAGGTATCTAGGCCAATACACAGAAACATTTTTCATTTTTAATACTTCGCAGCTTAGTTTTGGAAACGTATTAACTTTGTTTTCCAGTCATGTCTATGGGTGTTAAAGAAACTATGGAGAAAGTGGAGAGAATGGCCAGAGACGATCAGTGCATAGTGGTGGAATATCTGATCTTAGCAGAAAGTAACTTTACCAAATATTTCAAAACAAATAAAGGTCTAGTAAACTATATTTCTCGCCTGTTTATTGAGGTAGGATATTATTCGTTACATACGTTTAAATGTAAAATAATATAATAGCATTTAACTTTAGATTACAATTTATATTTTTGTGATGTTTTTATTTATTATTTAGGTACAAAACATGATTGATACATTAGAATTGGGAATAAAACTTTCTGTGCTCGGAATTACAAAGTTCACGGTAATTGAGGAAAACGAGTAATTTATCCATTAATTAGAATTATTTATTTAATTTCGTTTTCAATTACAGAAAACAACGGATCCATCTTATATACAAGATAGTGTAATTTCGGGTTACGAACGATATCTTCATGCTTCGGCGTTACTTTCTAATATGGCACACTATTACTGTCATCATGCTACTGGTTTGGCTGTAAATGCTGATATTATCATGCTATTTGTCCAGTAAGTATTATATTATCGATATATACAGATGACAGGTGGATTAATTTTAATATTTATTGTTAGTCGTAAAATGGGCTCGCTAAATCCTGATAATACAGTTAAACTGAATGTACTAGGTAAATATTTTTCTGCTTGCTTCTACGTTAACCTAAAATTCTTTCTACGCACTTTTGAATGAATTGCTTTATAGGCGTTGCGCACACAACCGGTGTTTGCAAGAAATGTCTTAAAGTTGGCATCGTCAGTCTCTATCTACTCAATTATGATAGAGCTAATATAGTAGCACACGAATCAGCACATTTGTAAGTGATTTAAAACATTACATTAAATGTAGAACTATTCTAAATTTGAGATGAAATTTCAGACTTGGAAGTCCTCACGATGGGGAAGATTCCAAAGAAGAAGGAAGTCCTGGAGGATTAGATTGTCCACATTCAGACGGATACATTATGGGAAGTCGAAGATATGGTAACGAGAATAAATTTTCCAAATGCTCTAAAGAATCCATCAAATATACATTATCGTAAGCATAACTTTAATTATATATTTAAATATTTTAATAATAAATACATTAATAATGCATTCTTTTTTTTAAGGAAATCTTCTTGTGTAATTGAAGATTGCAAATCGTATTAATTCGTATACGGTGGTATATTTTATATTTAAAAAAATATTATTTTAAATGATAAAATAAAATGTGAGTTGGATTTCGCATATATTATTTGATCAAGTTTTAATCCAGAAATAATTTGAACACAATAAAATAATTATTATATTGTCAAATTTTGTCGTTTGTGTTTTTTGTTGCTGATCATACATTAATATCATTCATTGCCTTTTTACCTGCTTAATAAAAATCGTATGCATTACATTATTAAAGTAAAAATTCCCATCATCAAGAATTGATGTTTTTATCTGATTAGAAATTGCGAAAAATGAAATATATATACAGTCGACCCCCCTATAACACGGTAGATACATTCTAGTTTATATGAATCCATTTTCTACGAGTCCAGCCAATCACATCCCGGCATGTATGCAGTTTACGGACTAACTGTTTGAAATGTTTCTTCCATAAAATTAATCGATTCTAGACTAATTCGACTCAACATTTCCAAAATACGTATAATTTTTTTGGGAATAATCCATATAAACTATGCTATAAATAAAAAATTGTAGGATTACTTACCGAGCGTGCACCGTTCGACTGCGCCATTGCTTAAGCTTGTTTTCGTCGTGGCGCGTGCTTTCTGATAAATTATTTTTTTTTGCGAAAAATTCGCTGAACTTTAGAGACATCATTAATATAAATATAATTATTATGGACGTTAAATAATAAACCTGTTTTAGTAGATCCGCTGCTCGTTTAAACTCAACGGTTTGTACAATATTTGCTATTGGTGAAGATTCGACCAATCCTGTCGGGACACGAGTCGGCAATGACGTTTAACAGAATTATATGAGTTTTTTAGCATGTTTGTATGAATACTGTCGCAATTTTTTCGCCGTGATATAGGAACCCGTGTTATAAGGGAATCGACTGTATATTAAAAATACAATTGAAAATTGATTTAAAAAGGACATTATTGAAGTATATAGCGAAGTGCATTTGAAATAAAATGTTAGAAGCAGTTTAATATTATTGATAAATCAATATTTTATCGAAGCAAAAAGTAATCAAAAGCTTATCTTAAGAGAAATGAGAAGCATAAAATAATACACTAACACGTAACCGAGCTTACAATTTACGACTCAATTTACTAAACTTAGCACTNAAAATAATTATCTGATTATCATTTTGAATGATATTATCACATATATTCGGGCATTTACGCGAATAATTTTCACATCAATATGACAGCTTCGCATAGAGTAAATGGACATTACAGTAGTTATATTCGTTTATTATATGTAAAAGTTTTACCTAATAAGAGTTATATCAAAACTTTTTTGCTGAGCATTAAGCGCCTAGACAAACAGTATATAGATATAAAATTAAACATTGCCTATGACATTCTTAATTAAATATTACTAAATTAAGCGGCGATATTATTTTTGAACCTGGACATCCAGCGACCCAACAACGGCTCTGAGTGTAATATGAAACAAAAACATCTTAGATTCTATTATTACGTTAAAAGATAAGACGATGACGTACAATTCGATCCGCACTTGGCGACTGCTGACTTAACACATCACCGACCAAAGGCTCTGTCAACCGACGCTTTCTATACACCGCGCCGTTTAGAAAAATCGTTATAAAAGGTTTTAATTGCATAAATTTGAGCTTTTGTAATTCCGAGATACATTTTCCATGCAATTTTATCTTTACAATAAAAAAAATTAAGCCGTAAAACTGAATTCGTTCTATGAGAAACTCCGTGAACTTCGACCTATCGACCAGGAAGTGTTGTCATCACCTCACTGATAACGAGAAAAGCTTAAGTTTAAAAGTCGAGCTTTCTAGATCTAGTAATTTTTTTTTCTCGACAATCTTATGAAATGCCAGATGAAGAAATATAAGAAAAAAAAGACAATACAGTTTTTTGATGATTCTTTACTTTAGATGTTTGGAGGCATAAAAATCGACTCATGAAATTCAGTACAAGTCGACCCCCTTATAACACTGTTGATTATTTCGTTTTATATGGATTCCGTGTTGTACGAGTCACTTAGATTTTACAAATACGTGTGCCGGGGTGTGAACGACTCGCGTATTTGTAAAATCTAAGTGATTCGTACAACACGGAATCCATATAAAACGGAATAATCAACAGTGTTATGGGGAGACGACTGTAATTGACTTTTATACTTGGTGGCGAGTCACTGCCCTCAGTCCTGATTTGTAACCGTCACGATTTGCAAACTCCTGACGGTTACATTATACGATACTGGAAAAACAATTGGACATTGTAAGGTAAAAAAGAAAATACAGTCGACCCCCTATAATTACGGTCCCTATAATTACGATTCCTATAAAACTACGAAAAAATTGTGACCGGTATCCGTAAAAAACAGTAAAAATTCCCTATAATTACCTCAAACGTCATCGGGCAGCCGAACTACTTTCCCGCCTTCCGTAGCGCCACGCTACGGAGAGATTTCTATCGTCTGGACAGTATTATATTAATTATATATAAATTAGGTACTGTATATATAATTATATATTAACTTAAT